ATATGCAAGAATGCAAAAAGAATTTTTATATGTATATAAAAAAAAGTATTATTTATATAAAAATAAAAAGAAAATAAAAAGGTATTGTTTTTTGAAGTATTTTCATATTAAGGGTAAAACCCTAATTCTATTAAATAAAATACATTATTCATTTATTATGTACAAATAGTTATTTATATATACAAAAAGAAAATAAAATGAGGTATTTGTCAAAAATGTATTTTCATATTAAATATTAGTAATAATAATAAAAAAAACAAAAGTGTATATATTTTATATTTACTCTAAATGTATTAATAAATATATGTATATATGTATTATTTTAAATATGCATTATATATATATATATATATATATATATATATATATATATATATATATATATATATATATATATATATATATATATATATATATATATATATATATATATATATATATATATATATATATATATATATATATATATATATATATATATATATATATATATATATATATATATATATATATAAATAAATAATAATAATATTTAATATTTGTAAATAGGTATTTTTTTTTATATAAAGTATTTTCAGAAGGTAAAAAGAAAATAAAAATGAAAATAAAAGTATTTTTACATTTTTCTCAATTTTTAATGAAATGTATATATATTCATTTATTTGTGTATAAATCAAAAGAAAATCAAATAAATACCTAATAAATTAAAAAAAATGGTGAGAAAAAGATTTTTATATTTTTAATAATATGAGAAAAAATAAATGAATCAATCAAAAAAAAGAAAAAGTCAGAAATCATTAAAAATGAACCAAATGGGCTCAGGGGGTGCAGAAGCAATTATGTGGTGCAAAAAGAAAAGTCAACACAAGCCCAGCCCATGAAGACCTTTCTTCAACCTCCAGCCTTCTGTTTGAACAAAACACGCGCCACTTTTCTTCCATTGCAAGGTCCTGATTCCTTGAGTTTTAGCAAAAACTTCCAACATCAAAACTGTTAAGCATCTTCCCACGAATTCACACATATAAAAAACATGTTTTAACTCTCAGAAATGAGAGAGAATTTCTTCTCTCCCAATTCTTAACCTAATTTTTGTTCAAAGTTCAGACATCAAATTCTTGCAACACACATAATATAAATAAAATCTAATTATATGGGCATGTTCAGGGCAATGATTATGACATATTCTCTTCGCAAACCTAAAGCTAACAATGCCTAATAAGAGAGATACGAATTCAAAAACTTACCTGTTCAGTTGAAGTTCTATCTGACAATGGAGAAGCTCTCAGTGCAAGGTGATGATTGGGATAGTTTCCTTGAGGTCCAGGGATACTATTCCAAGCTTTACTTTGTCTTAAAAGCTTTTGAATCGAGCTAGAGCACTTCACCTGTAAATCAGAAATGTGAAAATGGTGGAACCAGTTAGAGGGATTACAGGTTGTGTTTTAGCTTTTGGATAGCTTGCATAGATGGTAGGGAAGGTATATGAACTGGTTTGGGCAAGAATGCTTGAAAGGATTGAGAGTTGGAACCCAATCTGCAGAGGTTACTCTGTTTGAGCAGTTTCAAGGTGATTCTGAGTTTTGGGATGGATTGGAGGTAAAAGGCTCGTGCTTTAGCTTGGTTGAGATGTGTGGAATGTGTTTGATAAGTTTGTCTAAGTGTTTGTAAGCTGAGATGGAAGTTGGTACAAGTTATGCTATCTTACTTGAATTTGAAGCAAGCAATGGCCACTTGATCATTCTAGCCTGTACAGGCCCTCACACTATGCTGCACACATTTCCCTTGATCAGTGCAATTTGCTCACAAACTTGTGCCAAGAAGATTTAGACTGTACCACTTGGATTGCAAACTTGACATAAAGTTCTACTTTTTCAAAATGGAAATAATGCTTTTTCTAGTTTAGGGTTAATTCTCCATGTAATGTCCAAAGGCTTAGAATAACAACTTGGTTCAATGGTTTTGCATTAAATTTATGAGTGTCAAAGGGTTTTAGGACCTGTAATGTAGCACAAACTATGCTGATTTGAAAATGGCCTAAGTTATGAACATGTTCATGAACCATTCAAAAGTGGATTTTTGCCATATTGTGAAATTCGATTCTCTCAAGTTATGAGGTTGTTTGAGAAGTTCTTGGACATTTTGGAAATCTTGGAATGTGTAATACAAACCATCTTTGAAATGCAAATTGAAATTCTAAGTGGAAGTGTATGGAAAATGGCCTTGAAGTTAGGTAGAAAACCTTGTCAAAAAGGTCAAATTTTCACTAAGTTATGAATGGTTTAGTGCCCTTATTCAAAAATTTGTAACTTGAGATACAAGCCTCATTTGGGAAAACTTTGTGAATAAAAGTTGTAGATTATGCAACAAGCTACAACTTTCATGTTTTGACTTTTGTTTGAATCCAAATGAATCTTGGTGAAAAAGTGGGGCAAAGTTGGGAAAAAATTAGGGTTTTCCATAACTTAGAAAAATTCTAAGTTATGAAAAATTCCATTTCAAACCCTAATTTGCATTTCTTGGTTTCTTGGTGAACAAGTTTCATGATTTGGCATGTTTTGATGAAAAATGAATCTTGACTCTTGATTTTGACCAAAAAGTCAAAGTTTGATTTTTCAGTATACAGTCAAAATTGATCAATTGACTGGGAAATTCAACTGTCAATCTTGTGTACTTGGGATTTTTTGAGTTTGTTGAGCATGTCAAGATAATTCCATGGGGTCCTTGAGTCCATATGTGATCTTGGTTTGCCATTGTTTAGTTCAAACAGTCAAAAATTGCCTTTGTGCAGTCAAAACCCTAAAAATGACCATTTTGCCCTTTTGATGATCTGATCAAATTTCTTGTGGAATTGTGATCCAAACTTGATCAAATGGTCCATATGAGTTCATAATGTTGATGTGGGTCAATTTTTATGAGATTTGACTGTCAATTGGCCACAGTTGACTTTTCCCCCAATACAGCTGATTTATAGGTCATCTGTCCAATTGACTGGGCAGAACTTGGAATCAAGACTTGAAACTTGGTATGGATAAACTTGGGAGTCCAACATGAAGCATGAAAATCATCTTAGTTATTTTAGGTCAAAACATCTTTGTTCAACCACAAACCCTAATTTGGGTTAACAGTGCAAGGAGAAGTCTTGAGCAGAGGAAACCCTAACTGGATCTTGATCTTCAAAGGTCTTGTGATGAGAAAATGTTGAGGAAATGGGAGGGCAAATTTTGGGGTACAACGCCTATCATATAACTAGGTACCATAAATCTGTAGTATAGGCTTCCAATATGCAAAACCTCGTATGCATGGTTGGAAAGCCCATAATAGTCAATGGAAGATTTGTTTCCCAACAACAACAGTCCCGTCATCTGTAAATAACAGAAGTGTTTGCATTTCTACCATTGTGCCTGGAACAAAATTCTTAAGGGCCAACAAGTAATTAGGAAGTTCATTGTATGGCTTTTCTCAATTACCGTACACCTTCTCGGTTGCTTTATTTCTAGCAATTCATGCTTTCTTGTAAGAGGGAGTGTATTTGAAAAAAGAAACAATTTCATTAATACATACGCTCACCTTGATATATGGATCCTTATCAACAAGAGGCATTAATCGTTTACTCATCAATCAAGAGCTTAGTTGTCAATGATCCTGATTAAAGATGGTTGTTGAACAACTGTGTGGGGCTCCATGATTCCTATCTCCCATAGGCCGCTCCTTTTCCTATAAGACGCCACTAGACGAAACTTGCAACCACTGTGCTTACAACAAATTTGATATCTCTTCACTTCAGAATATGTAACCTTGAAATCAGCGACATGTTTCATGTAATACTTGGATATCGCAAACACACGGTCATATTTGTTTTTGAACTGGTTCACAACAGCTATGTCATCCTCCAGCAGAAGACGGGGATTGTAGGTCCATTCAAATGATGATTCGTCTCCACTTGTTCCCAGAGTGGTCTGCGGGCAATAGAAATTCTCAACTGGAATGTGTTGTTTATTTTCGTTGATTGCATCCGCTTCGTCATGGTCGCCCTCTTCGAATAAGATAGTGAACGAATCATCAGTTTGTGACTCAGTCTTTTCTTCTTCATCTTTTTCGGAAACGACTTTGTTGGGAATTATGGAGACGGGCTCAGCCTCAGTGGGATTGCTCACTTGTGAGATTTGAGACTGTTGGCAAAGTTGAAATTTTATGTATAAATCTATCGCATGTAACCCAAATAATTCATGATTGTAAAACATCGTTTCCACATCATCATCGTCTCAGACTTTCAATGGAACATATTTTATGTTGTTATCACCTAAATTAATAGCATTTCGATATATAACTTGTAAGACGGCTCCAGATTGCATCCTTGTTTGTATCCTCTCCCTCAAGTATTCGAACTTTGCATTTCTACTTAACTTGAACCGACAAACATTAGTATTTTCGAATATAATGTCCATATCATCAGAGACAAAGATCTCTCAATTGTAATGAGCATCAACTACATATTGAGGTGTTTGAGACATGATGATTTCTTTGTAAACAAATATTTTGAAATGTGTTAAGTTGATGAAAAATTGTAGGAATAAGAGCTGCATTTAAATGATATATGTTTTGTGTTTTGTATACATATAATAATATTATTTCGCTGGAATATTGACTGGTAAATGGTCAACATTACAAAAGCAACACATTTGCTCATTGCAGACGCGAATACACTAAATAATAAGAGGGTCCATCCATTGGGAAGGCATAAGCATTTATTTGGCTGAAGGCTCCGCCCAATGCACATGCGTCTTTCACAGGCCAATTAACTCTCTTCCGCCCATTTATTTTTTCAAAGTAAGTTTTTCTTTATCTAAGTAAAGTAAATATGTGTAGTTTAGTGGTGAAAGTTTAGATTTTGAGGGTGTACTCTCTTCTATATTTCAAATTAGAATATATATACACTGCTTGAAACTAGTACAACCTTTTCAACTCATCTTCAACCAAGGTACCAACTTTTTCTTCTCTCCATGAAACTTCACTCTTCTCTTCACTTCTTTCATGTCTTCTTCCAATTCTATACTCTTTCTGCTACTCTCAACTCAGATGGCTTAGCACTTTTATCATTCAAATCTCACTGGACATCACTTCCACCTCTCATAAACTCAACATGGATTCCATCTCATTCAACACCATGTTCATGGGCTTGTCTCAAATGCAACTCTTTCCACCGTGTTATCTCTCTCAACTTTTCCTATCTTGATATTTACGGTCAACTAGGGCCAGAAGTTGCAAATTGTACACAACTCCAACACTTAGGCCTTAGTTACAGCTATTTCAATGGCCAAATACCTTACTCTTTCACTAACCTTCACAAACTCAAATATCTTGATCTTTCTGTTAATCTTCTCAATGCTCCATTCCCTTATTTCTTGTCTCAAATCCCTCAACTCAAGCTTCTCGATCTCTCTTACAACCAACTTCACGATTCCATTTCAACTACTATTGCCAACATGACTCATCTCCAAGAATTGTACCTCCAGTTTAACAACTTCTCTGGTGCAATTCCTTCATCTATTGGGAACTGTACTCAGTTACAAGACTTGTATTTGAATGATAATCAGTTGGAGGGTGTTCTTCCTTACAGTCTTAACAATCTCAATCATCTTCTTAACTTTGATATTGCCAACAATAAACTAACAGGTGCTATTCCATTGTGTTTTTCTGGTTGTAGAAATTTACAGTTTTTGGATATCTCATTCAATGATTTTGGTAGTGGCATTCCATATAGCATTGGTAATTGTACTGCTTTATCACAATTTGCTGCTGTGAAATCTAACTTGGTTGGAACTATTCCATCTTCCATTGGTCTGCTCACCGAGCTTTCAATTCTTCGCCTTTCCGAGAATCATTTGTCTGGTAAAATACCTTCTGAAATAGGTAACTGTGAGTCTTTGAAGGAGTTGCATTTGTACTCCAATCGACTTGATGGAAAAATTCCGAGTGAAATGGGAAAACTCGGGGAATTACGCGACCTTGAACTGTTTTCTAATCAATTGAGTGGAGAAATTCTGCTTGAGATATGGAAGATTCGACGTCTCGAGCATCTGTTTGTGTATAATAATAGCCTTTCTGGTGAACTTCCAGTGGAGATGACAGAGCTCAAGAACCTTAAGAACATTTCATTGTTTAACAACATGTTCTCTGGAGTTATACCTCAAAGCATGGGAATTAACAGCAGTTTGGTGCAGTTGGACTTTGTAAACAATAGGTTCACTGGCAACCTGCCACAAAATCTTTGTTTTGGAAGAAACTTGAGTGTTTTGAATATGGGAATCAATCGATTTCGAGGAAGAATACCTCTGGATGTTGGAAGATGCACAACTCTAAGAAGGGTCCTTCTTAAACAAAACAAATTTACCGGGACTCTTCCTGATTTTTTCGGAACTTCTCTAAACATGATATGATTGCTGCGTATGTTAAATATACATTATTTTACAGTCTAAATATGATATGATTGCTATATGTTGAAGACTTGGCTCAGCTCAGCGATATGTACGCTTACATGTCTGTCAGTAGTTAGTTTTCTATGAATTGTTGGTTCTAAGTTTTGGCAGCCCCGTTATGCAGTCCAGGTCTTCTTCAAGCGCCACAATACATGGTGACAATGGTGTTTTATGAAGTAGTTTTTAAGGTGTCTTGTGGATTGACTATCACAATAAAGTAAAGCTAGACTGATAAAAGGTTATTAGAGGTCTTGAAGAAGGTATGTTAAGCATCGTAGCTTACAAATAATGGAGAGGACATAAACTCATACTCGACTTCTAATGAGGATCTAGAGAGAATATGTTGCCTTTTTAGTTTTCAAGAAATGAGGTGATTTCCAAGAAATATGCATAACCATTAACTGATTTTCATTTATGTTGGTGGTTTGTCCAATTTATTTCAAAATGCCTTGAGATGCAACAAGATGAAGAGGGAAAAAATAAGCCTTAAGCTGGAGAAGATTCAAGTTACTATAAAACATGAACGGTTGCTTCATAGCTAACGGAAGTAGGTGATTCATGTATAGGCTGAGCTGTGACATTGCATACCAGATGTTATGCTGCTAGTCCGAATGTACACTAGATCTTTGTTATGCACTTGAGGCTGGAACAACAGGAAACAAAGCTGGCGGTGACAATTCAGGTCATTCTGGGAGCACAGAATCTGTGATGACAATTGCGTTCAAGTTTGCATTTGATGTCCACCTTCAAGATAATATAGCAGCTATGGCACAACATAATGTGCGCAGCCTTGTTACATCTGTCTGTTCAGAGGGTTTCATTAGCACTTTCTCCTTCGCGCTTTGGTTCTTATAATGCATTTCACATACTCTTCGGAACTCCTGAGGCACAAACACGTAACCAATGGATCTGTAACAACTATAGGTATGTCTAAGTCAGCTAAAACCTTCACTATGCGAAGATGCAATTAGCTTGATGAACAATGATCGTAAATCATGTTAGGGTTGTGCTTTACATTGCCATAGATATTCATTTTGTCAGAGATCATGTTCGCAATAATAAGATTCGACTTCAACATGTTTCAATTAAAGATCAACTCGCAGATTGTCTTACCAAACCCTTGTCCAGGCAGCGACATTAAGATCTTCGATTCAAGATAAGAGTATTTGACGGTACCCCTATCTTGCGGGGCAGGTTACAGAGTCAAAACATTTAATTTAAGAGTTACTCTAGGATCAAGCATTCAAGATGAGAGTAATTATGGGATCAAGCAATCAAATCAAATTGTAACTAATTAGAGGAAATTAAACAATAACAGTAGGAAGCAATTATTATGACAGCAAATCTGTTTCCATATATTACCAATATACCTTGTGAATAATACAAGCCAAAACATTATTCCTTATATATAGCCACCACCTAATAGTTTCCAAAGATCTAGATATTGGGAGATACAAAAACTATAAAGCTTACTCTTCTCATGGTCAAATGTTTCTCCATCAAACATAGAAGATTTGATTGAGTAAGAAATATTTCTTTTCTAATTTTAAAATATTTTGAACTATAAGCTAGGATTAGGAACAATCTAGTTATACTTACAACCTCTAAAGCATTGATATAAGATGATGACAAGTTAGTATCAGCGTCACTGTCTGTCACGTCTGATGGCACTGCATTGATAGAAGATAATGACAGTTTATCTGAATCAGTGTCACTTTTTGTCTAAATCAGTAACAAGTGATAATGTTGTCTCTGATGACTAAGTTAATGTTAAATGTGGTATCTAAGGACTAAGTTAACTGATGACTAAATAAGTGTCAATGTGGCCTTTGATGACTAAATTAGTGTCAATTTGGTCCAATTTAATATGACTTGATAGACTTAAATTAGTGTCAATTTAATATAACATAAGAAACTCAAAAACAAAATACGTTGGAATTTAATTTTGCACACACAAATGGAAAGTGCAGGGTCATACGATAAAACTGACGGCTAAATTTCCGAAACATATGTGACTAAGAAGGCGCTTAAGGGCGTGTATGGTAGCCGTCGTTTTGAGAGAAAACAATTTCCAAATGGATTAAAATAGAATGAGTAGTGATAAAAGTTAAAGGAAACTTAAAATGAAACAAAACTCGAGATGTTCCCCTTTTCTTGGAGTTCGTCTTTGGTTCAGCTCATACACCACTGGTACATGAGATATTCCCCTTTTCTTCCAAATGTTAATACTGTTAAACTTTTTCACTTTGTTTACTCTAAGCTCATAGTCTGTAGTAACAGCTAACTTGAAGATTAATGCTTCTGACCTACTTCCATTGAAGTTAGAGGAGTTGAATTTGCTTCTGACATTTATGTTTGATATATAATTTGGAATAAAGAAGAGATGTTTATATATAGGGTTGCTCACTTAGCAATCCATACATATGCATAACTCATCAATGCACATCAAGTACAAAAGGCAGAACAATATGTGTTTACGAAGTAAATATTCAATGATTTATATAAATAGTGTGATTGACTAAATGATGCTCAAGCATATATAAGACACCAATATGTTCCACTTCTTCTATTTGTAAACTTCTCTCTGATTGAATTTGAGATTAGTAATTGGTTGGTGCTCTCATTATTTTCAAGAAGCGATTTTTTATGCTTGCATTATTTACACGTATAAAAAAATTACACAGTGTGTAAAGAAACCAATTGTTCAAACACGGCATAAGGATCCAGTCATGATGTGATATACACATGTTTCAAAAATAGGCCAGGAATATAATTTGGATCATAATACCATGTTTTTTAATGTCTGAAATAGTGAAACTATGGTTGTATAAAAAATTCTAATATGACTAAATTTTGAGTATATAAACACTCCTCTCGTAGAAACACTTATGTTTAAATATATGCATGAGTTTTGATATATGTTTGAGTTATGATACATACACCGTTTGATTGGATAGATCAGAGATGCCAATGTAGTTGTGTCGTGTAAATTAACTAGTCTTCATCTCTTATTTATCAGATGTTTATAGTTAGCAAGAAGTGATTGACTATATAGAAACCTTTGCACCACTTGTCAGATTAGAGTCTATTCGTCTCTTAATTTATTTTGTTGTTAATCATGACATCATCTTGTATCAAATGGTGTTAAGAATGCATTCATGAATGATTACATTACAGAGGAAGTGTATGTACACCAACCTCCTGGTTTTGAAAATCATAAAAATCCAGATTTTGTTTTCAAACTTAAAAAATCATTGTACGGTCTAAAACAAGCTCCCAAAGCACGGTATGAAAGACTAAGCAATTTTCTTCTAGAAAATGATTTTACCAGAGGAAAGGTTGATACTACTTTGTTATGTAAGACATTCAAAAATGATATTCTAGTAGTTCAAATATATGTTGTTGATATTATATTTGGTTTTGTTAATGGTACATTGTGCAAGGAGTTTGTTAAGTCTATGCAGGCTGAGTTTGAGATAAGTCTGATGGGAGAACTCAAATTCTTTCTGAAGGTAGAGAAAACAAAAGAAAAGGTGGGGGAAGGGGGGGAGTTGAATTATGCTCATAGAAAACATTCCCTTTTAGAAATTCTAAGCACTCAAATGATAATAGCTATAAAGACAATGAAGTGAAAATGGCACAAGTATTTTATCCAGATTCATCGTTAGCTAAGGCTACTCCTGTCCACCCCCGCAAGGATGATTTCACCTTATCCAAGGACTTAATCCACTATAACCAAACTGATTAAAAGTGCACGGGCAACCGCCAATGACTAACACACAATGACACGTTCAGTAATCTAACCGAATATAACGTTCATTGACCTAATAAAATCTGATCTCTCAAGATCTTCTACCAGGATTTCCTTACAATGATATCCATCAGTGATCTCATAAGAGTCTGACATTCACTCGGTCCCCTTTGAGATATGACTACTATTAATCTAACAGAATCCGATCCCACAAGATCTTCTATCAGGATATCCTATAATGACCGCAACCATTATCTTATTGAGATCCGACTTTCACCATGTCTCTCAAGAAATCAATCAATAACAGTTGACGGTGATCTTGTGTTTACACGAATACTTCTTCTAAGCAGATTACACAAGTGTTTTAAGCACATATTGTTTAAAACTTCTTCGAGCAACAACTCAAGTGTTAAAACAATTTACATGAAGAGATTCGAACAAAAACATTATACGAGCAACAACTCTGGTGTTCATTACAATGTTCTACAAAGATGTATATGATCAGAAATTGAATAGCATCTTGTAGTGTTCTTCTTGATCTTCTTGTTGAGAAAGTTCCGAGCAATAACTCCTTGCTTCTTCTGAGATCTACCAAGATGTATGTGATTTAAAGTTGAATAACATATTGTATTCTTCTTCTTCGAGCAAGCTACGAGCAACAACTTCTCACTTCTTCTGTTTCAATCAAGATGTATATGATGATGGTTGTTTAACATCTTGATGAAATCTTCTTTCTTTCTTTTCTCTCTTCTTTTGTGGTCTTCAGAATTTGTAGCATTGCAGCTTTAACATCTTCAACTTTCTTTAAATCTTTAATCTTCTTTTATAGCTTTTGACAGAGAGAGACATTGTGAGGATAAAATGAACTTTTTTTCCTGCACCAACGATTAGTTCTTAAGAGATAGAATAAGGTGTAAGAGTTTACACAGTATAAAATAATATTCATGTATCCTATCATTGTTTAATGATAGCTTTCCACCTTTTCCAAAGAATATAATAATGGTTCCTTTTTATAACACATAGAACAATTTAAAAATATGTACTCTATTATCTTATTATAAACACTTGCATATTTATTTAAAAAAAATCAATAAATATAATAAATTTATTTTATTTATTAATCTTTCAATAATTTTATATGTATATTAATATCTATAATTTTTAATTTAAATATTAATTTGTCTTACTATCATAATTAAAATGAATTGAT